TGCCAATTCAACCATATGTTCCTATGTTTTTTTTTTGCACTGAGCTGATTGGTGCATTTTGGGCATACATTATGCTAACATTCGCCATTGGGATTTTGTACTTGTGCATGATCTATCTTGATTCTTATTTTTCCCCTTTCCTCTTCCCTCCCTACTGACACAAGCTTTGTTTCCATTTTTTTCCTTTCCCCTCCTTCCTTTCCCCCACCCCTCTCCCTATTTTCCTTTACCCTTTGAACATTTTCTCCCTATTTCACAATTATCTATTATACATTTTGGTCCTTGCTTACACTTTCAGTTTCTCACACCAGAGAAACAATTTGGCATTTACACATGTGTGTCCTATTTATTTCACGTAAGAGTATGGCCTCAAGAGGATGGTTTTTGATTAAAGAAGTCATAGCTGATGGTTATATTACCTCCAATATGAAAAAAGTAATGTTCCGATTACCTAATTACAAGTAACCACATGCAAACAAATTTTCCATGAAATTTAAATCATTAATCCATTGATACCACAACTTTTCCCGCTTATCTTCAATTTTCTCCTTATGCCCTGTGGCGTAAGGCTCTAACATGAACCTAAATAATCCCTATGAGTGTGCTCCTTTCCCTGTATGTGTGGGTTCGACGCAGACACTGGCTTTTGTAGAATGTGCAGGTAGTAATGAAATGTCATTTGTGGGCATAGGATTCATGATGCAGCTCAGTGGTAGCCCGTTTGAGGCCTTGGGCTTACAAATCAAGTTTAAGGTATGAAAGGACAGTGTCTCTGCCCGTGGGTGCTCCTCATTTGCGCTCAGATACAGTGGCAGCTGAGTGGGGAGCCCTGCAGGGGGCCTGCCTGAGTCCGACTGGAAAAAATGTTCTGAGCCCTTCAGCAGCGTCCTGAGCGGCTCCGAAGTGGTCCTCACTGGAATCCTGTGAGAGGGCCGCGGGGGCGGGGGGGGGGCACAGCATTGGGAGAGCCTTTGAGTCAGCACTACCCGGCTCAGCTCCTCCTAATTCTGCTTGCTGTTTCTAACTGCTAGATCTGGGGGTAATTTGTTCCACAATAATAGATAAATACACATGAGATGGATTCTATGCCCATCACTATAATAATTTACTGAAAACAGCCGACTGCACCTAGCTGGCTGGACCTCCGTGCGCTGTGTACTGTTCCACTGGCCTTGCTGCCCTGAAGGAGTTCCCAGCTGGACCGGGCCACGTCCTGTACACGCACAGTCTCGGGCCTGCCCGCCCCTCCACACCGCCTGTCACCGCACGCTCGCTCGCTCCCGTTCCCAATGGACTTCATGAACACCCCGTGAGTCTTTCTTGCTCAATAAAGCTTAACCATCACAACGTTCTACCTTCATTGGTAAATAGGGTCAGGGGACACAGCAGGCTCTGGTTTCCGTCCTCAGTACCAGGAGGCGTAAAGTGAAGCTGTCTGACACACTCACTTTACTTTCTTACGTCTCTCATTTATCAAGTCCGTTCCGACCCCCTTAATCCACCATAAAAGTTGTGTCGAGCTCACTATGGAACCGACGCTGCCAATGAGCAGAGTGGACAGCCCCCCATCTGTCCACAGCGGCCTGAACGCCGCTCCCTCTCTCTCTCTCCCTCTCTCTCTGCAGCCCTGCTTCCCCTCGGGTTCTGTTTTTCTTCGTACTCTCCTGGTGCGCTCCTGCCCCACCGCCCCCCCCAGCTCACCTTTCTTGCTCCTGACCTTGAATCGCTGCTCACTTCTTTCATAGTGCTGTCTTCTCCTAAGTCACTAACATCATTTCCCTCGGTGACCTAAGTCGCTCTAATATCAAATTATCGCTGGTACAGTTTTATACATACACACATACATATACACAGGCATTGGCACATTTATTCATTTATCCAAGCCCTTCTTCCCCCGTGCTCTAGATAATAAGCTAATATCTCTGCTAATGATGTCTCTCCAACATCTCAGGCTTAAGGTAACTAAAGCAAAACTCCTGATTAGCTGCCCGCTGAACTGTGCTTCCCTAGTTTAAGGAAAGTACACCCACCCACCTGGTCATCCTTGAGAGTACGCACGTAGCATTCCACAGCAAACTCCTGGTTGCCGGTTCCCTATTCCAGCTTGAACTAGCTTCTGAGGGCAGCCGAAATAAAGTTTCACAGATCAGACGTGGGCAGGGTGAGACAACAGAAATCCTCAGGGTCCTGAAGCTGGCGGTCACAGACCTCAAGGCACAGGGGCCCGGCTCTGCAGAGACATCTCCAGGTGGCGGCGATCTCCAATGGGGGCTCCAGGGGCACAGTGTAGCCCTGAACACGTCTAATCCACTCGATCCCTAAGCAAACTCTTTCCCTCCTTACCACCACTTTTATCTCCAATATATACAGTTTTTGCCTGGTTCCTTGAGCCTGTTGTTCAATATTCTCTGTTACTCTAACCATGATCAGTTATACACAAGAAAAAAAAAATGTATGTCCTTTTACACAGAGACAGAAAACATTTTTAACCTGTTACTTCTTTAATACATACAATAAAATCCAAATCTTTAACCAAGGCTAATGCTGGTTCATATTGAAATGGCAGTCATATAAAATACTTTGGTTTATTTACATATTCACCACAATTGAATTTTTGATCCTGTGAGATGGGGGTGCTCCCAAATCGTGGTGGTTTAAAATAACAATCATTTCTTTTCGTCTTAGGTTCACATTCTTAGGAGGGCTGTGTCCCTGGGTGGCTGGCCCCTGGGCAGATCCTGGCAGGGTCAGCTGGACCGGGGAAGCAGCGTGTGAAGGGTCCACGTGCAAGATCTCATCTCAGAGCTGCATGTGGTGTGTTAGTGCCTTCAGGATTGTGTCTGGAAATCCAGCTGGCATCCCAACTGAAGGTGCTGCACTAGGCAAGCAGTCCCCCAGATTCAAGATGACCGAAGAATGGCAGGCCTGCAGGGAACGGGAACAGGGTCTCCCAGTCTCAATACAATCACTTTCCTCAGTGGGAGAAAAGCTGGAGAGCGTGTGGTGACGGCTGCACTCATGTTTATCACTATCTTGGTGGATTCTGTGAACTAAAACTTAGGTATCTTCTATAATCAGTGACACCTGCCTATCTGATGTGCTTTTCCTGTCAGAGGTCAGGCTCAGATAGGGCTCCAACATCAGCTCAGTAACACACAGGGAGAAGCCTTCCTCCTTTCAGATGTAACTCTCTAGAAGGCAAGGATATTGTTGTATGCCACGATACTGGTTTTGGACAGCAGCTGGTAAGCATTATTTTTCCCTAGCTCACTAACCGAGGCTCCTTAGTTGGGACAGAATATTGTCTAGCCAGTCACCCATTCTTAGATCTCTTCTCTCCGGTAATATAACGCATTATGCCAGATACCTTGTAATAAGCAACACACGCATTACGTTAACATTCTCCCCTGGGGACAGCTGTGGCTCTTACACTAACAATACTGTTCTTGAGGATATACTGGCTGCTTCCTCTTTGTGACCTATGTGTGTTTTCTACAAATTCACAAGCCATTTATTCAATTATTTAGTCCAAATTCTATAGCAATCGATATTGAGTTCATTAAATTATTACTTGTAGGAATCAGTTTTCTCTCCTTGAAAATAGTGCCAGTGTCTATGATCTCCTACTGTCCTTGGCACCCACTTATTTAAGAAAGTTTTTCAATGATTGGAAATACATTCAGAAGAACACATATTTCCTTAAGCATAGTGTGATGCAATTCTTCTAGACCAAAACATTCAATGTAAGCAAGTACCTAGAGGTTCCTTTATTATTTTTGTGATTCTTTTGTATCATTTAACTCTAAGACATTCTTGATCCACATTTTTAAGGGGAAAATCATTCTGTTTTTGATGGAAGGTGGAATCAAATAGGAATTGAGTAACACTTCTTTCTGCTTCTGCTATCATTTGGAGTTACGTGTTATGGAGACAGGATCATTTTCAAACTTCTTGTTGTGATTACCCCTTTGAAATTTTTTATTAATTTTATTCATCTCATGTGGCCTTCCTCCATTATTTCTGATATTCTCAAAATCTTATCTCAATATTAAGAGTTCCCAGTGATACAAATGACTGTCTTGCATTATTTTTCTTCAGTCAACTATATATGCATTTATATGTATATAATGTGTATATATATATATTATATACCAAGTATGCATAATATATGCAGTGTATATGTGTGCATGTATTATATACAGAGTATATATAATACACAGTGTATATGTATGTGTATATAATGTGATATTACATATGATAGAGAGAGAGTCTGCATACAGAGAGCACACATACTTCAGGAAGAGAAAATCTTGCATAAATATTTAAATACCAAACTTACTGAGACACCATGAGATTAATACAAGTTACCTTTGGCCTCTACAATGACAAGAGGGACTCAGAGTGGTGGTCATGATCTTCCGGATGTTTACTAGCAAACTGCTGCTTGGGGAACTGTGCTCACTGAGAATGCTGCATTGCATTTTCAATTTCTCCAAGGCCCAGCAGTGCAGTGGGTTTGCTGTGCTACACAATGTCCTCTAGGATCCCCCATAAGAGGAGGGCGACACCATTGGTTGAACAAGTATCACAAGTATCATTCTTTCTTTCATGAACTGGACATACATTTCTTTGCCTCTTTCTCCCTCACTCTCTCCCTGCATATATAATGTCTATATAATATATGAACATAATTATAATATATAATGTATCACAATATAAAATATATATTGTTTACTTTCAGCTATTTTCTTAATACTTATTAGTACTTTAAAATATTTCTGAAGCCTCGTATTGTGGGTGGTGAATGCCTGCAACCCCAGCACTCAGTAGTCTGAGGAAGTAGGAGCACAAAAACCCTCTTTCTCAAACAACAATGAACCACACAAACAAACAAAAAATTCCTTACAGATAAAATATGTTGTTAGAAATTTCAAGAATTTCTAGAGGAATTTAACAACCAGATTTCCTGTGTGTATCCTCAATTTGAATTTGTGGGGAATTTGACAGTTCCAATTTATAGAAAAGGAATTTCCTTACCCAGGTTAGTGCTTGATTTCATTATTGGAATTAAAGCTCAGCTGGATTTCCTATCTCTATAATCTTCCCCGCATCTTCCAAAGAGAAAATTGGCAACGTCTTATAAAACCCTCTTGAGAACCACACAGCTTCCTACTTATTCGAATCTTTCAGTGTCAGCCTCTGGCTCCACTCCTCTGTCCGGATGTCACACAGGTTGCGGGGGAAAAACGCCACGTGGCATCTTCAGCCTCAGAACATGAGCCGTGAAGGGATCACTCGGTGACGTGAGGAACACAGCGGGCCCTTTCATATCAGTCTTCATGCTTCCTCTGTGGGAGAGAGAAAGGGATTTAGCGTGTGTTTCTGTTCATCCTGTTTCACTCTGCACATTTCCTGAACCAGAAATAGTAAACTGAACTAGAAATAGTACAAACTGCACTTTAATCCGTCTTTAAATTATGCAAATGCAGGTGCAGATCAGTTTATTCAGTTTTCCTGTACACTAAAAATGAGCCATTGAGCAAATGTTTCCTCCAAGGAACTAAAGCCATAGGACGGAAAGAAGATCGTGTTTCGAACACTCAGTTTTATCGTCATGGGAATCAGTTTCATCCTTCATGCTGTGCTCGATTCATTGCCTCTTGTAGGAACAGAATATACACTGAAGTTAAATTTTATTTTTATGAAAAAGTAACTCATAGGCTGGAGAACAATCTAGATCAAGCACAAACACTGGCAGTGATAGATCATTCCATTTATCCACTCCCCATGCTATACTTTGTCACAGAACTATGAAAGAATTTTCATAAGGGTAGGCAACACCAGACAAAATGTACTCCGGTGTTTACTAAACTTGTTTCATCTTCAGTACAAACTGATACTTTTACTAAAGTACACACCGAGTCTCACGCTTCTCATTCTCCAGCATTTCTAGGTTTTCCCTTTTACCAAGGCTCTAAATTACTCACACCAGTGCACAACCGGGGATGCAATAACCGAGGTGTGGACTTCTCAAACCAGGGTCTTCAATAAAGAAAATCCAGGAAACTCAGACAGGTGTGAGCGTAAATGGTCCTGCTTCTCCAGCTGGCGGGGGCGGAGCTGAGACGAGAAACCAAGTTGTACTGGTCTGTTACTGTTTCTTAGTCCCCAAAACACTTCTAATTTGATATTTTTGTTTAATTCCTAAAACAAATAATGAATTCTCCTCTTCTCTGAAGTGCTTTTTAAAAATAATTTCATTTGGTTATTTCAACACACACGTACTACATTGTCCTTAGTCACTTGAGAAGACATACGTGTTCTTTGTCTTCCTCTGTCCTACATGAGAACAGCTGAAAGGAGGCCCTTGCACCATTTCTGATGTCACCTTGTGACTCTGTCTCATCTGGATCTAGAGAGAAAGGTGGCCAAATGCCTTGAAACTGCTCAGAGCTTTGATCCGTTAAATTGGGGAAATAAAGAAGCAACATAATTCCTTTGAAATTAATTAAAATTATGGATCAGCATCATAGAAATAAAAGACAGCTATTCATAGAACTAATGAAATGTTGTTAGTGTATCCTTTGAAAAGTGTTTGTTCCAGCAACACATATACTGTATTTGAAATAATTCAAAAGAGATTACCGGGGATTTAGTTCAGTGGCCTGCCTTGCAAGCGCAAGGACCGGAGTTCAATCTCCAGTACCAAAAAAAAAAAAAAAAAAAAAAAG